AACTTTAGTTTTTTTTTTTTTTTTACAAAGCTTATATCAATTCACTCTTTCTGGTACAATTTTTGTACACGCAATTTTTCCCGCACCTAATATCAGATCAAGTTGAAATTTTTTACATTTATTTCTTGTACCTGACAAAACAAGGAGCAATAAGCAAAATTAACCATTAATTTAATTAATTATTGGTATTTCATTATTTTGCTTGGTATCGAACAAGGTAAGAAAATTGTACTAGACGGATATGGCGGTATAAATTGAATTATTTCCCCTTTGTACTTTGTTTAGAGAATTAGGTCGTTGCTTAAAAGTTTGAAACTAACAATAGATAGCTATGAAGCCTACTATTTTTTAAAGAACTATGCTGGTACAGTGGTTAGTGTATTGGCTTGAGGAGGCTTGAGCCATCGAGTTCGAATTCAAGTCGTTCACCTTTTTTTTTATACAATGCATTTAAAACCCTATCGTGATAATCTTCAGCCAGATATCGCTTTCTTTCTCTTCCCCCTTCCCTCCGTTCTCAACTGGTCCAGAGAAGTGACAGGGTCATAGCGCAATGAGAAAGCTAAAAGCATATAAATTGCACTAAACGAAAACAATTGGTAAAAATATTTCAAATGGCACAGATTTATTACTTATAGTCTAGATGTATTACAAATTTTATTACCTAATACAAATTAATTAATACAATTACATTTAATATAGGTTATATATATGCTTTGTTTTTTTTAAAGTATTTGTTAAAAATGTTTTTCTTGTGCTAACAACCCTACACATCGACCAGTCAACAGTACACTGGTTTCCTCTTTGTACACGTAAAAGTCATCAGTGTGTACAGGAATTCGCTGCTGTACTTCTGACAGGATCACATTTACGGCATAACCTTTAGATGTGAATGTGAGAAAGTGCAACACTAAAACTCCATTCATGCAGGAGGAATGGCGGGGGGGGGGGGAGTCTAGGCATAAAAACATCTTTCAGGATGTACAATTCCTGTGACGCAAGAGGACATTCTCTCCCTTGAGGCAGGCTCGTGTTTCCTTGTGGCAGGGCCAGGCGTGGTGGAGGTACAGATTGGGATCAAGTAGGAAATAAGCAGAACGTACCTTCTTGATTGAGGAAGAAGGATCTAGATTAATCTAGAAACATTGGATAGCACGACAAGCTCTTACAACTCTCATTGAGACAATAGTCACGTGACAAAACATACTTGTGAACACATTCTTTCACAACTTGTGGTGAAACAGTTTCTTACTGTCTTTAAATAGAAAATCTAGAAGTACATGTTGCTACCCTTTCGAGAAATGTATTTATAGACTACGGGAGACAACTTAATAGTCGTACCAGTGGCGTCACTAGGGTGTGAGATTTCAAGAATGTCGTCATTTGTTAAACAGTGACTATTGATTGGCATCGTGATATTACGGAGCTAGTTACAAATTTAATAGATTCGATTAAAACATTTATTTTTTTAATCAAAGCAGTGTTCATAGACATGCGTGCAGCTGGTAAACATCTGAAAGTAAAGTTTCACGTTTTCCTTGTGGTATTAAGTATGCTATAGTATTTTAAACCTTTTGATAGAATTTCATAAAAAAAATATGTTCAGTTGAAATGAAAAAAAAAGTAGATTTATCTATTTATTAATTGTGAATATCATGTTCCAATATTAAGCCACTGTCGTTTAATTTTTTTAATTGTCAGTTATTCCGAAAGTCCTTTTTTTTTTTACTTGGGTGTCACCCCCCTCCCAGTGACGCCACTGAGTCATACTCCTCGATTGGTTGGTAGCTATGCAGAGTGACTGATGCAAGACAAGTCATCGTGCTATAAGTTAACAGCAATAAGTATCATACAATTTTACAAGACAATGTTCAGTATCTTTGCTGCAGATGTCCAAACTGAGATGGAGTCATTGGGAGCTGTGATGAAGGGAAAGCACTCTTAACACCTTACACCTTCCCCACAACGTTACATCCTTGCTTAAACAAAAAATTATTAAATTCTTTAATTAAACTACACAAAGAAAGCAGAAGATTTTCAGAAAGTACAAACTAAATTTTGGTGCAAAGTAAATCTATAAAAAAGGTTACAAAGGAAGTTTGTGTTGAAACAAACTTAAAATCGGCCCCCGAAGTGGTCCGCTACGGCAGATAAAAATAGGCAGGGTTCAATATTTTCAGAAAGAATAACATAAGGTACAAACTATCACTAACTACAACCCTACCTCCGTCGATACAAAAAGAAGAGACTTGCTAAGCATGAATACAGCAATAGGACCGCACAATGACTTGCTAAGCATGAATACAGCAATAGGACCGCACGATGACTTGCTAAGCATGAATACAGCAATAGGACCGCACGATGACTTGCTAAGCATGAATACAGCAATAGGACCGCACGATGACTTGCTAAGCATGAATACAGCAATAGGACCGCACGATGACTTGCTAAGCATGAATACAGCAATAGGACCGCACGATGACTTGCTAAGCATGAATACAGCAATAGGACCGCACGATGACTTGCTAAGCATGAATACAGCAATAGGACCGCACAATGACTTGCTAAGCATGAATACAGCAATAGGACCGCACGATGACTTGCTAAGCATGAATACAGCAATAGGACCGCACGATGACTTGCTAAGCATGAATACAGCAATAGGACCGCACGATGACTTGCTAAGCATGAATACAGCAATAGGACCGCACGATGACTTGCTAAGCATGAATACAGCAATAGGACCGCACGATGACTTGCTAAGCATGAATACAGCAATAGGACCGCACAATGACTTGCTAAGCATGAATACAGCAATAGGACCGCACGATGACTTGCTAAGCATGAATACAGCAATAGGACCGCACGATGACTTGCTAAGCATGAATACAGCAATAGGACCGCACGATGACTTGCTAAGCATGAATACAGCAATAGGACCGCACGATGACTTGCTAAGCATGAATACAGCAATAGGACCGCACGATGACTTGCTAAGCATGAATACAGCAATAGGACCGCACGATGACTTGCTAAGCATGAATACAGCAATAGGACCGCACGATGACTTGCTAAGCATGAATACAGCAATAGGACCGCACGATGACTTGCTAAGCATGAATACAGCAATAGGACCGCACGATGACTTGCTAAGCATGAATACAGCAATAGGACCGCACGATGACTTGCTAAGCATGAATACAGCAATAGGACCGCACGATGACTTGCTAAGCATTAATACAGCAACAGGACCGCACGATGACTTGCTAAGCATTAATACAGCAACAGGACCGCACGATGACTTGCTAAGCATGAATACAGCAACAGGACCGCACGATGACTTGCTAAGCATGAATACAGCAACAGGACCGCACGATGACTTGCTAAGCATTAATACAGCAACAGGACCGCACGATGACTTGCTAAGCATCAATACAGCAACAGGACCGCACGATGACTTGCTAAGCATTAATACAGCAACAGGACCGCACGATGACTTGCTAAGCATTAATACAGCAACAGGACCGCACGATGACTTGCTAAGCATTAATACAGCAACAGGACCGCACGATGACTTGCTAAGCATTAATACAGCAACAGGACCGCACGATGACTTGCTAAGCTTGAATACAGCAACAGGACCGCACGATGACTTGCTAAGCATTAATACAGCAACAGGACCGCACGATGACTTGCTAAGCATGAATACAGCAACAGGACCGCACGATGACTTGCTAAGCATTAATACAGCAACAGGACCGCACGATGACTTGCTAAGCATGAATACAGCAACAGGACCGCACGATGACTTGCTAAGCATTAATACAGCAACAGGACCGCACGATGACTTGCTAAGCATTAATACAGCAACAGGACCGCACGATGACTTGCTAAGCATGAATACAGCAACAGGACCGCACGATGACTTGCTAAGCATGAATACAGCAACAGGACCGCACGATGACTTGCTAAGCTTGAATACAGCAATAGGACCGCACGATGACTTGCTAAGCATTAATACAGCAACAGGACCGCACGATGACTTGCTAAGCATTAATACAGCAACAGGACCGCACGATGACTTGCTAAGCATGAATACAGCAATAGGACCGCACGATGACTTGCTAAGCATGAATACAGCAATAGGACCGCACGATGACTTGCTAAGCATGAATACAGCAATAGGACCGCACGATGACTTGCTAAGCATGAATACAGCAATAGGACCGCACGATGACTTGCTAAGCACTGTCAAAACAAAAACAAAACGTCAGCTCTCTCTGGCCACGTCACAAGGTCTTCAGGAAGAAAGAATGGACAGACATGTCAGTGAATAAGATTTTATCAAAGGTAAAGGACAGGGAGGAATGGAGAAAGACGGTTGACAGATCTTGTGTGGTGCTCCAACGCTCCAAACGACTAAGGGATAGGTGAACCTGGCCTAACTGATGTTCTCGAATAAACTATCTAATGGATTAGATTTAATTTCTTCCAATCTCTCTTTCAAAGAATATTGCTATTCCCTTGGAAAACAACCCAAGTTTTCCCTTTAATTTGTATAAGTGCTACAGAGGTCACTGCCTCGCACGTGTAGAATATGAAACACTACTTATTAATTGTTGTTTTAAATTGTATCACTTTTATATGCACACTAAAAAGATTTTTTCTCTTTAAAAAAATATTATTTTTTTTTTGTTATAAATGTGGGTAGTTAGTATGACAGAAATTACTTAATCTGAAACCGTTGGCATAAATGAGCTGAAAATATGTTGCAAGGTTATCTCCCTTACTAAATAGTCGCCCTTCTATTTTACTATTAATAGTGAATAGTAAAACTGCTAGCATAGTTGATTATAAAAATTACATTTTTCGCTTTCAGAAAAGAAAAACGTAGCCGCTGCATCTGAACTTTGAAAGCTCTAAAATATCTTTTCTACTTTACGAGATCTAAACGGGAACATAACTGAAAACAAACAAACAATTGCAAATCTAATAAGTCAACATAATGTTTTATTTAGTTCATGAGACTGATCATGAGAAGATAACTTTATTATATAACATGGAAACCATTCTTACATTTATAAAATAAATCCGAAATGATAAAATGTAACAAGATAAAAGTTTACTTTAAATACAAAAACTTCAATCTCGTGGTTAAAACAAAACAAGTATCAACATATTAGCATGGAATTCAAAAATTAAATAGTACAGAAAAAACAACAACAAAAAAACAACAACAGTAGCCCTAGGAAGCTTCAAGTACAGTGAACATGCTAAACTAATTTTAGTCTTAAAGAGCCATCATTTCCCATCGCAGGAAAAACTTCCACATATATCGCAATGTAAAATGACACCATGAGCAAGACATGAGGAAATGTTAGTATGCACTTGATAGAGATGTCTAAAAAAAGCTTTAGATAAACCCCCTTTTATGAACCTTTGATCTGGGAAAGGAATTTATTTCGTGGCCAGAATGAAGGATTGACTTTTTCATCGACCGCTCTTGTCTGACGCTCCCATCAACTAGATGACCATTTAATTATGGGTCACAGTCCATTGAGCCATCCAATGTGAGGTTGGAGGCCGAGCCAACAAGGGGACAAAATCCATATGCCTACACAGTACCACAGCGTTCCCTGAGGGGGGGGGGGCATTTCATACATCAGACACAAGCATGATATGATGTTTAAAACATTTCCTGTGCAAAGTAGAGACCCCCTTATAATAAATTTAGCAGGCTACAGAAATTCATAATTCAGCCTGAAGATTAGTAACAATAAAAAGATTTATCTATCGAGTTTTTTTCTTGTATTTATTTTACTCATTGAGGCTCAATCGGATTACCCATATTGCAAGTACAGGCCTTCTAAGACCGATGCCTAGAGAATATTAGCAGAGTTTCAGATTTAATATGTATTATTTGTCAACTAAGGGAAATAACCTCTGATTTAATGATTCACATCAGCATTGTCTCTCTCTACTTAAAAAAAAAGAGGTATATGATACACTTGATACATTTCACAAAGAGAGATACTACCATACATTTTGACCAACTGATGTGATGCTAACTATCCTATTTAAAAAACAAATCCTATTTAACCTGTGGCACCAACAAGCAAAGTTTGTTAGGAATGTTGGCAGGCTGACAGCTCATGCAATTATTTGACAAGTCAGCCTCATTCACTGCTAAGCTATACCAAACTATGGGCTGCGGGCAACATCTCGCACATGATTGGAAGTGCCCTTCAAAATGTACACCCACAATAAAATTGTTAGGGCTTGAACTCAAAGATTGTTTTTGTGATGATGTGACCCAAGAACTTTGTCACAACTATATTTGACATTAAAAAGTTGGGCATCAGGTGCTGTAGAGAAACATTATAGTGAAGAGCATTATAGCAATGTATATAAGAACCTTGACTCAATGCAACATTTTACAATAGCCAGAAAAAGCCTTGAATTCTATTTACACTTATTTAGTTCAAAGACTGGTCCATAAACACCATGTACATGAAGGTTCTCAGCACAAGTCATGGAATATATTTTACCAGACATTAAATTGAAGCCTTGAAATCTTTAAAGAAAAGTTTTCTATAATCCAATGTAATAGTTCTAAAAAAATAAAACTGAAAAAACAGGTCTCACGATAGTGTCAGTAATATCAAAGTAAACCAAACTAATATCAATGTTTATTACTTCATGCAATGCTGAAGCACATTACTCTGTCAATAGCACTGCAGCTCGTTCTGAAAGTCACAAACACATTCCAAACAATAACAAATACATTCACACCTAATCCAGCAAAGGTAAATACATCCATGCACACACACACACACACTACATGTATACATGTGATCACAAGGTTATATCAAACGTCCAAATAAATACTCTCCTACAGACACACAGTGATCTATTTATACTATGTGACCAACCTGACAGCAGCTCTGTACCAGATGAACTAATAACCTCCAGATTGTTACCAGTTAGAGAAACAGTGAAGCAAGATATTGATAAATGCAATTTTAAATGACATATATATATTTCTAGTTAACATCATACAAATGCCTGATTTGGTAATTGACCTTTACTATAGTAGGAGTACTTTTGTTGTGGTCAGATGCCCAAATAAGCATTGTTAGTTTTGGAATGGACTGTATTTAATTGGTGATTTGACTAATGCTGACTAATCCCAAGTAAAACCCACAGATCACAGGATGGAAGTGAGAGCTTGATGATTTCTAGATCCAACTAAAAGTCAAGTAAATAAAAAAGATCTCATGACTAACATATTCAACATTAACTATCATTACACTCAAAGTAGTTCTTCTAGACAAGAGGCTTAATGAGCCAGGACATGTTACTCTCCCTTTATGATTTATTCCAGCATTGTAAATTAACCCATTCAGTACCAGCCCCTTTAAAGTTTAGTCCTAGTCAAAGGGATAGAGTTCCGCAAGAAAACTAAGGGGGTTTGCAAAAACATCAATGAAAAATCTATTTCCAAAGATAATATAATAAATACAACTGCAATATAATCAGCATTAATTACTCTATATGTCTAAAAACTTTGTGTTTTTATATAGAAATCTTCAATCAGCACATATGACAAAGTGCGAGATCAGGGGTTCTCAGCCTGTGGGTCGCGACCCATTTGGGGGTCGATTGATGATTTGCCAGGGGTCGCCTAAGACCATCGAAAATATGGATTGTTATTGTCTTATCTTCTATTGCTGTGGGGGAGGGGTCGCAGCAAAGTGAGGAATTGTAAAAAGGTGTCGCCGAGCTTAAAAGGTTGAGAACCGCTGTGCTAGATCTACAATTTTTTAAATTAGCTTGGTGTTGGACCTAGTGTTGACAGACGAGTTTAGAATATTGCACAATCACACCTAGAACTAGTCTTACAGTACCTAAACATCTCACTTTGGATCATTTTAACTCCTTAAATAATTCATTATCTTTATCTAAACATGACAACCTAATGCCGAGATTTACAGATATTGATGAATGTTGAAAGCCAATCTCAAAACAATTTTTTTTCTCTATTTACAGTATCTTGGCATCTCCTAGTTACACATCTAGCGGAGTTTTATTTCATTAACTATTAATATGTTGCTGTGTGGCAGTTAGTAGATCAAATGCTAAGTGGACGTTTTTGGCTGCTATGGGGTTGAATCGGTAACAGCCATTTTTGGTTGGCCACTTTGGTACTGAATGGGTTAAACATAGAACAGTATAAACAGAAACTTTGTAATCTCCCTTTGCTTGCATTAATTTGACATTTTTTTGAAATATACGTAGGCTAGTTTTGATAGGCTTGTATTTCTGTAGGCAGAAAACAAGACAAAGGAAAAAAAAAAGATCCAAACAAGTCATCCTAGTGGATTAATTTGAGTTTCATTAGACAAAAAAAATGATAAGAAATTTCTTACTGTTTCCCTTTTTTTTTTTTTTTTTTTTACAAAATATGTAGTAGTAAAAAAACAGACATTTAACACAGGAGATAACTCAGGAAATAGATGAGCCCCGAAATGGACCCAGAGTTATCTGATGATAAAATCTTGATAAAAAGGCGTAACAAAGCAAAGAAACAAGAGCCACTGGTTGAAAGAAGTCTGAACTCACTGAACACAAGCCAGTTGAGATGGAAATGAGCTTACACCTTGACCTGGCCAACACAAAAAAAAGTTGATAAATTCTTCAGTGTCCAGCATTGTCTCTACATTCCTAGGATGAGGCTGAGTAGCGGTGCAAAAGCTGAGTGTTACAATTGTCACAGACTCTGACGGGTTTAGATGAAGAGGGCAGGGGCATTTTGTTGTCGGAGCATTCTGAGCAAAAGATATCTCCACAATAACGGCAGTGGTGCTGTGGGAAAGGAAAATACATTTTTAAAAACATTAAGTGATGCAGCATTTTTTCTATGAATAAACATGACATAATATCTAATAATAGCAGCACTAAGGTGTCAAGGTTATTGAGAGAAGAAGGTGAAGAAAATATGAGGAGGACTCGAAACACCAACCCTGACCTGGTGCCATACCCTAGAAGCGATGTCTATTCATAATTTTTGTTGAAGCTCTAATGGCTTCAAACTTCATTTATGTTTCATGAGTTAAATTACTGAAACTATGAAGCTATCTAAAGGTAATGTATTCATATTGTCTTGTAGTCTTACAGAGAGATAGATGCAAATTTTAATTACCTTTTTGTTTGTCTTTGGAAAAGACCTCGGGCTCCAAGATGTGTTGACCCTAAATATGGATTTGTTTGTGGGGACTATTATGTAGAGAAATGTGGTCAAGCTCTGAAAAGGAAAGGGGGGGGGGTTATCACATGACCCTGGGTGGTGATGCAGGACCAGATAACAAAACTTGCTTGAAAGCTCTTTATTTTTTAGAGAGACAGATAGCGAAAGTGGATGTAAAACTGGTGCCTGGTCGATGCAAAGCGATGGTGTTGGGCCAGGGTAGGAGGTTCGAGCCCTCTTCGGGACGTGGATATTATGCCATATTTTCTTCATCTTCACTTCTCAATGACCTTGGTATCTTTGTGTTGCTATTATTACATGTTACTTGTCATGTTTAGTCGTCATTTACATTTATGTAGCATTTATTCTAAAAATAATTTCTTTTAAATGTTTTGCAAAAGTAAAAAAATTTTTTTCTAACTCAAAGTTTTTCCATGTCTATTACTTATTGCTAGGCTGCAAATCCCAAGCAATCTTAAATTGATTAAAAAAAAATCTTGTATAAGAAATAACAAATAAACTGGCAAATAAACTATTAGTAACATGAATCAAAACTTGTTTAAGCTAATATTTTGTAAGAAACCCTAAGAGTTAGTTTTAAAATACCAATCTTTGTCTTCCCAAAACAGACTAGACTATACAGTACAGTAATTCAATTTTAAATTGACTTGCACTATCTTAAAGATAGCTTTAAGCACTTCTTGTTGACAATTATATTTTAAAAATGTATTTTTGATCTCATTAGAAATAAATTTATAGGCCATTGAAGAAAAATTATTTAGAAGTAATAAATCTTGGGGAATACATTTAAAAAATTCCTTGTCCCCTATGCTAGGACAAATTTGTACAAATACTCCTTCTTCCCTAGTGCTGTTAGAGCATGGAATGGGTTGCCTGAGCTAGCCAGGAAAACCAGTGACTTGGCAGAATTTAAGTCATTGGTTAATATGCATGACTAAATGCATGACGCGTAGAACATAATCATCTTCTTTTTTGAAGTAACGACTGTATTATATAAGATAAAAAGATCATTAACGAAATAACTAAATCTGCAATTGATCAATTCATCAGTAAGTATGTTATTTGTTTTTTTTTTTTGGTTGCCATTTATGTATCAAGTCTTTTAACCCTGACCTAGTAACATCATCAATCAGCCAACTATTAAGATGCCTGAAAAATTTGTGAGCTACATCCAAGATTCCAACTTACTTTTCTTCTAGCTAATGAGAACTCTTTAGTGCACTGTTTACAGTTAGTGACTGTGTCATCACTGGCCCAGTGAGCTTCTCTCTGCATTGCAGTGGCTTCCCTTAAATCTTCAACTTTCAACTTGGACCTGTCCAAATATGACAATTTCAAAGATCTATGTTTTTTGTTTTTGTTTGTAGTACAGAAATGTAAGAGTACATGTACACAGTCACTGAAAAGTGTCTCATTTTGTTGAAAACTTTATTAAATTTACTTTGTAAGCCTGATGTCCATATACAAGTAGCTTCAAGAAGAAAATTCATAATAAACTATATTTGAGTCAGAAATAGAGCAAATCTTCTTTGAAAGAACAGACCAATGTGTTCTACCTGTGAGGAAGTCATCACGAAGAGCTTAAAGTAAGGGGGTAAAGAAAACAGTTTATCCATCCTTTTGAACCAACAAAGAACTATTATCTAGACAAAAGATTCAACCTATTAGGACTGAAAGGGAAAGTAGCAGGGAAGAATGGTGGTTACTACATCTCTTGACATTGAAACAAAATGTGATTTGCTTCCATTCTGCAAACAGAATTTGTTTTTATATATTCTCAGAGTTTGAGGGAAAGGTATCAATTGATTTGGATGTTAAAGTTATTGTAAACCTATTTGTTTGGTATTTCCCCTAGTCAGTTATTATTGTCTCTTTGATCAAATAATAAATAAAACTCCCAGCCATTGAAAGCTCTCTATTCATTGCTTGTAACCATTTCAAGAATACTAAAGCTCCTACTTTCCAATCACAATGTAGATAACATTAATACTAGTTTCTCATACACTAACAACAAACTAAAAAAATTGGACTTTTATAAATAATGCTAAAAAGGAACTGTCCTAGTGATGCTCCAAGGTTCAAACCCCCCCGGGTATGCTATTCTGCCTCAACGTGGCACCTGGGTGGAAACGATTACTTTTGGAAGTAATTAGGCTAAATGAATATCAAAACAAAACTCCTGTGGGAGTGTCCAAGAGAATGCGAGAACTTTCCCAATGCACGGCGCAGAAAGAGAGCTTCCATGTCCTTGTCGATAATCCATGCGCATTTCCTCAAGGGACCGTTACACTAATGGTGAATCCTGCAAGGTTAGCTTGGTACAACATAGGAAAATGGCGGAGGTTCCCAGTGTACTCGGCCTTCGGCCATGCATTCTAGTCCATGCGCCCAGAGTGCCAGATATATCAGAAATAGCAATGCTTTACATAGGCTTTGACTTGGATCTCTTCCAGACAGAACAGTTGTTCAAGCAGGCTTACACACATAGAGCTTGAAGAGCCTTATGCTCACCTCTTTTGACAATCACACAGGTTCAAACCCTAACTACTGCCATCCCACTCTGTCCTATGAGAGGTTTGGGCCAGGATGTAATAATCTTCAATTCTGAAGGAACATCCAAAACATAAAACAAACAAGGTTTGGTTTGGTTTTGGTTTCAGGCACATCGGCACAATTTTAGGCCATGTCGTGCCTGCATTCCCTTAAGGATTACTCTCTCTTTCTAAATAACAAGGGCTAAATTCTATACAGTTAGATCATTAAAATCAAGGTCTATTCACAGTTAAAATAGTAAAGGTAGTAAAAATTTAATAATTTGGTAAAAATCTAATGTAAATAGTACATGTTTACAAATTCATAAATCAGATCTTCGTAGACAACCCCACTTCCCGGATAAAGCCCAGTACCTTCCTAGAGTCGACATTATCGAATAGTGTTTTTAAGTTAGTGGCTATAAAATATTTCTCCCTGACATCCTGGTATCTGGGGCAATCAACGAGGATATGTTCCACGGTGAGGCGAGAGTCACAGTACTCACAAAAGTGGGGGCTTGTCTCTCTTCAGCACAAAAGAGTGCGTGATGTAGGTGTGGCCAATCCTAAGTCTGGACATGGTCGTGCTACCATGCCTTGTCAGATCCTTAGATGTGGGCCGCCACCTGATATCCGCAAAAATCTGCCTGAGTTTATTGTGAGTCTCAGCCTCCCATCGGTTCTGTCACTCTCGCTACAAGGCTGAGGCAATACTTTGTCTCAGGTCCGAGCAGGGAATTTGGGTTCCTGACACTGCATTATTTAGGGCTTTGCTTCTCTGTCTGCGGCTTCGTTGCCCTCAATGCCAACATGGGAGGGGACCTAGATGAAGGTGACATCCCTATGGTCGGCTGTTATTTGGTCCAACAGCTTCAGGCTCTTATGTACCAATGGGATGTCAGTCTTCATCCGCACCAAAGCTTGCAA